CTGTGATAGTTACAGTGTGAATGGAGGAGTAGTTGATTCTATAAGGCAATTGTATCTAAGTTATAAGAAATGAATGAAAAGGAAGGCGTTCCAGGTTTAGCCAAGGGTGTGAGTTCTGGCAAGTGAGGAATCCTAAGGTTATGAAGGAAATGGAAATCATAAAATCTTCCATGGTCATGATATCATGGGGATGCTAATGCATCTGAGTGGAATTATCCTATGGTATATAGAAAAAGGGAACTAGGGAAAGAAAGGTCTGGGCTGGTAATATGGATTTAGGTGTCATCTGCTTAGAGATGACAAGATGGCTTAGGTGAGTAAAAGGGAACGAAGAATATTGCACAAATGTCCAATAGAATAAAGCACAAATGTCCAAAGAATAAAAGCACAAATGTCCAAAGATGTTTTAGAGAACCAAGGGAGGGCCAGGTGTGGTAGCTCATGCCTGTAATCCCAGCACTTTGGGAGGCCGAGGCAGGAGGATCACTTGAGGTCAGGAGTTTGAGACCAGCCTGGCAAACATGGTGAAACCCCATCTCTACTAAAAATACAAAAATTAGCCAGGTATAGTGGCAGGCACCTGTAATCCCAGCTATTTGGGAGGCTGAGGCTGGAGAATTGCTTGAACCTGGGAGGCCGAGGTTGCAGTGATTTGAGATTGCACCACTGAACTCCAGCCTGGGTGATAGAGCGAAACTCTGTCTCAAAAAAAAAAAAAAAAAAAAAAAAAAAAAAAAAAAAAAATCCAGGAAACCAAGGGAGAATGGTGTCACAAGACCTCCAGGTAGAATAGTTAACATCATCAAATACTGCATAGGGACGTAGTATGACAACCATGAAAAGAATATTGGATTTTACAAATGATAGCTGGAGACCTTTAGAGACTGGGTAAGAAAAGGCATTCATGACCAAACCAGATTTCAGAGGCTCGGGATTGATGGTGAATTAAAAACATAAATAAGAGTAATTAAAAGGATTGGAAATTTCTAGAAAACAATCTTTTTTTTCAAATGGGAACTTGTTTGTTATTGATAATAATATGGAAAATACTACTGATCGGCAGATTTGGGATGCATCAGAGGCAAAGCGTATGTTGCCTCCTGTCAAGTTTCTCATCTACATCAGCCGTACATCTCTAGTCTCATCTACATCAGTCCATTGTCTGCATTAGTGCTGAGTAGGTCAGTCCCCTGCCTAAAGACCTCTCTGAGTTCCTTGTTGCAAGAAGAAATCCAATATTCTTAGCATAGCAGACAAGTTGCTTTGCATTTTGGTTCTAAACTCTCTGTCACATTTCATCTTCTGCCACTTGGGGCACAGGAGATTTCAGATTCTTTCCAAGTTAGATCTTTGTACATATTGCTCTCTCTACCTGGAAGAGCCTCTCTCCCATCTTTCACATGACTAATTTTAACTTGTCTTTCAATACTCGGCTCAAATATCGCCTTGTTTTTGAACCCTTTCCCGCATCCATGGTTCCAGTGCAAGTCTCCCTCTTTGTTGAAGAAACAACCATAAGTTGTTTCTTCGTATCTTCGTTTCAGCATCCTGCATTGTAATTCCTCTCTTTTCATAGCTGTGTTCTCCATTAGACTATATGAACTCTTAACACAGGGACTGTCTTTTTTATTGCAATCTCCATGGTAGAGGCAAAACAAACTCTTGCTAAAAGCATCGGGAATGAATGTGTATTAATGTAATAATATATACTGAGGTATATAAGATAGAAGTGAAGAAGCATATTATTAGTGCAAAAAATGAACAGTTTCACCTCTGCTCCTTCATTTTTTAGCTGTGACCATATATAATGAATAAAATATGTGAAGCTATGCATTCCGAATGTATTCTGCTACAGTCATTATGTGTTAGAACGTGGTTTTGGAGTTAAGCAATCTCAGCTTTAAGCATGACATCTGACTCTAAGACTCTAAAACCTGTATGAATTTGAGCAAGTCAATTTCTCTGAACCTGAGTTTCCTATTGGTCAAATGAGAATAATACCGTATAGCGTGGCTGTGAAAATAAAATTGACAAAATATAGATTAAACTATTTAATAACCAGCATTTAGTTGTCACTAATGTCACAATTATTTCCAACTCTCACCTTCATGGCTGAGATCTCTTATTAGTTTCTTTCTGGTCTTGTATTTGTCTCATTTGCAACTTTAATTCATTTTATAAAGAGAAGAATGTTTCATTTCTTAAGTGGAATTTTGATGTTAGGAAGTTTAACATCAGCTGTGCTTCACCTATCTAAATGATGCCATTTGATTCATAATACTCATTCCCAACATTAAGTGAATTTACAAAAATCTAGAATGAAATATATGTATTGATTTAGTAAGTTGCCAATTACATTTGAATTGTTCATGAGTCTCCAAATAATTTTCCAGTGAAGGCCCTAACTTCACTTGCTAAGCTGGATCTGAGGACACCCTTTTTGTCTTATCTTCTGGAATCTATTGCCCTCAGTGATTTATATCAGCTTTTAAAATTTTTTTAGCAGAATTTTTGTGGTTAATAAAAACATGTGCTTACAGCTTTTTGCATAAAGGATTCCACATCCGATTTAGATCAAGAGATAGATTTTTAGAAAAAAATGATGGATATGTCCTCTGAGAGCAGTGGAATGCAACGATGTTCTGTCTTTCTCTGATTGAGTTCATGGCATTTCAGAACCCTTCCACACCCACACCCACGCAAAGACACAAACAGTGGTCACAACTGCAGCTCCCGCAGTCTCATTTCCAGAGTGCATCCGTTATTTTCCATAACATGAAATAAATCCCTCTTTTTTGCCCAGTGGTGAAAAGCTTATATAAATACTAAAACTTCAACTATTCCCCTGAGTTTTCTGTTGGCTAACCTGCAGCCATGGGTTGTTTGGATATTGACATGCATTTGCTGTGTAGATCTTTCAGGCCACTTTGGTGAGTCCAGTGGTGATAAATTCTGTTGTCTTGAAAATTTATCAGGCTAACTGTTTTAATGCTCCATCTTTGAAAACTTAAATAATTGACGCCCTCATCGAAAAGGCTCCAGGTTCAAAGTATCTTTTGTTCTTTCAGCATATATCATTCTGATGATATATATCTATATATATTTTAGGAAGCCTTGGCCAGGAGTTGACTGTAACAGTCGTTGAAAAGAAAGTAAGAATGTGAAGAATTGATGAGCCAAACATTTAACCTTGCATTGTTATTCCTATGAAAGATTTTTTAAAACTATATTCAGAAGTGAAGTATTTTATTGTGTACTAAATAGGGGTAGTTAACATTACTGGGCTGAAATTAAAATGTATAATAAAAAATCCTTATCCATAGAATTGGAGAGAAAATGGAAGGCATATATTTAAAAACAAAATCAATACTTGGTGTATAGTGGGTAATCAGTAAATGAATGTGTGGATAGGATTGATTAACTTCCTAGTGAAATGTAATACTACCTTTATAAAAAATATTTATTATATCCTTAAATAAAAACTTACATGATTGAACATCATTGTTCATATAGTAGCCTTATTTTGGAACATATATTTATTCCATTTTTTCTTTTTAATTCTTGTTTTTCGTTTCTTCTCTTACGTAGCAATCAATTAAGTGTCCTTCAGTATTGAAACTATTTTTTTTTTTTTTTTTTTGAGATGGAGTTTCGCTCTTGTTGCCCAGTCCTGGAGTGCGATTGGTGCGACCTCGCTCACTGCAATGTCTGCCTCCCGGGTTCAAGGGATTCTCCTGTTTCAGCGTCCCAAGTAGCTGGGATTACAGGCACCAGCCACCATGCCTGGCTAAATTTTTGTATTTTTAGTAGAGACAGGGTTTTACCATTTTGGTCAGGCTGGTCTGGATCTCCTGACCTCAGGTGGTCCACCCGCCTTTGCCTCCCAAAGTGCTGAGATTACAGGCGTGAGCCACCGCGCCTGGCTGAAGCTATTCCTATATATATGTATTTTTTTTTTAATGGTGAAAGAAGTAAATTTATCTAATACAGTTTCCTCTGGAGTCTGCAGATTTGAAGTTAATTTTAGCTATGTACAGGAGAACCGAAGGGAAGTCCATGAATATTCTACTATTGTTTCACTAGCCCTTCCATATTAGTAAAACATTTTAGTCTACGTTGGCTAATATTTTAAAAATGTCTCTTTGGTTACCTAGATTATTAATTAGAACAGGTTTGACATTTTAATAATCAATAATTCTGAAAGTCTTCATTCATTAGAAACTAATTGTGTTGGGGTGTCGCTATAGATCCAAGATTTTATTTCTGTGTTCACTGTTTTTACAGAGAAGAAATATCAAACAATAAATCTCATGTGTTAGCTTCCCTTCCTTAAGACCTATTAGGGAAAATAAAGAAAATCCATATGCTTTTCTATCTGTGAAGTCCAATTTTAAATTATAGTAGAAATAAAACAGACAAAGGATTTGGATAAATTTGAGTTTTGTTGGCTGAACTGAAATATCACTCTTTGCATGTCTTCAGTTGTGCTGGTTAGTAAATCACAGTGTAAAGGTTGTTTGTAGGCCAATGGTTGTGACCATTAATTTTTGCATACTTTTCCCAAAGCTTTCTTAAAACAGTTACATTAGTATTTTTTTTTTTTTTGTTTTGAAGAATAATATATCAGTGCCTATCCTAACCTGATTTCCACTACCTGAGACCTAAAAGACATATTGCCCAATGACTTCACGCTCAAAGTACAATGATATTATTATTATTAAATTCACAAATTGCTCAGAGAATTTTCATAGCAATAGAAATAGGAAGAATTACATCTGTAAATGATGGATTTTTAAACACTAGCACCTGGGTGGCTGCTCTTATCCATACAGGGCCACTCAAGTCATTTCACACAGACAGCCTTCTCTCAAATGAGGTGTAAAGAAAGACTAGGAAACATATTTTTGTCACTATTGCTTGCTTTGAAGGAGGGCCACATGATAGAAGAGGCTGTGTTATGTTCCTTCCTATGTAAAAAAATTTATCCTTGTTTGTCTTAGGTTTGAAGAAGAACTGACCAGCAAGTGGTTACATCTTTTTGAAGGCAGTGGAGTCCCGTATGGCCCAATCAACAACATGAAGAATGTATTTGCAGAACCTCAGGTTTGTTTTTGAAGTTTAGCAACACAAGCATTTGCCTCTCTTTTCTGTCCAGATTGACTTATATCAAGGTACCTTTGCCATTGATTTCAAGCTTAAGTCACACAATGTGATTTTTCACCATTATATTAAAATTGTTTGTGGGTCTGAGATAAAAAGAACCAGAACTTAGAAGTGGCTGTCCATAAGCATACTATGTCCGTGTTAGATTTAATATACTGTATTTCTTCATTAGCCACTACATGAAGTTTCTGTGGCCAGGGTATTTAATTTTCCTGAAAAACAGAAATATACACAATTGAGATATCGGGGTCGGGTACTCAGAGACTATTCTTTGTAGGAAGAAATATGAGAACTTTCATAGTTACAGTCTACCTCTGATCATATGATTATCTTAAAATGTACAGAGCAAGTCATATTTAATTCTGCAAATGAGAGGACTTTGTTTGCTTTGATGAATATGTGTTATTTGTGAGGCATAAATTTTACACAGATAGATATTTATGCTCTACATTGCTTATCAGGCTCCTTTTTGGGGTCCAGGAACAGGGTCACCTGAAAATATATTTACTTTATAACGTTGTTCAAGTGATTATTTTTAGATGATGTGAAAATAATGTTTTGATTTTATTACTTCAATCAGTATAACTACACGCAGTTTACCATTTCTCAGATTCATCCATTAATCCCCAAAAGTAGAGGAACTCCATTTTAAAGCTTTCATTGTGATTATTCAACTGTCTTGTCAGTTTCCAACATTCAAAACTATGGGGTATATTTTCCTGGGTTCTTTATATTTATATAGTGGCGGGTTTTTCTTAGAAATAAATTACTGAACATAGAATACACCTTTTGAGGGAGGAGACCTTTGTTGGAAAACCTTTGGTGCCTTTTATCTTACATGAATATCTGCTTAAAAGAAAATTGAAATATTTTAAATTTAATGGTTACTACATTTACTGGAGAAAAAAAGTGAACAAATTCAGGAATTCTGCTTGTGCTATTTTTCTGCCAAGATTGTGAATATGGCAACGCTTTGTTCATGTTAAAACATTGGTCAATAATGGTCAATAAGTATCTGAGATAAAGAGGCCCATTTGGTGTGTACTATGTGAATTCATCTGAAGGGGACCCCACACCATCAGTGGGTGAATGCCTGGTGATTCTTTACAAGGAGGTAGCATTGTGCACACTCTGAATGTAGTAGACCAGGGGACTGTTTTTCTCACTTCGTAACTTTGAGTGAGGCCAAGCCATCATTTGAAGCTGTCATGTATTGAGGTGTGTGTAGAACTTCATGTTTACCTCAGTTTGAGGGTACATTCCTCTGGAGATATTTCCTAAGAGTTTCTCCATCATCATTTCTATTGCTCCATCTGTGTTTTATCAGAGATGAAGACACCAAAGCAAAGAATTATTTTAAATAATTACATTAAAAAAAATATATTAAGTATATTCTAACACTACCTATTTTTTAGGCTTTGATAAACAAAGATTTATAATCCCACCCACTATCTTAAAATAGTTCACTTTATTGGCTAGTTCAAAGTGAATATAGGATAATTAGAATTTTTATACCTAATTTTCTCTTGTGGTTCAATGTAAGTACTTTAATCTTTGCATGTCAATTCTTTTGTAACTACAAAAATTTGTTATTGGTCTATGGCATATTTTCAGTCATTAGCCTACTTTCCAAAATGGAGAACATTTATATTACTTAAGTCAACATACTAGGTTTTCGTGCTATTACAAATGTCTCTACTGCCCTTTGCGTACATTTGTGTAAAACAGATTATTTTTGAAAACCTTCAAAATGACATCTAACTGTGAAGACTTAGTTCATTCATTTATTCAACACACTTATGATATATCCAGTGCTTGTGACTTAGCAGAAATTCAGTACACAATGTGTACCTGCTATTTAAGTCCATTTTGAATGTATTTATCAGAAAGGTACTAGTTATTGAGTTGGTTAACTCTGGAATGTGCAGGTTTTCCAAATAATCAAGTTGCTCCTCTGCAGTCCCCCCTCCCCTTTTTAAAATCCTCCCCACCATAACTATCATCTTGTGTACTCCTGAGTGAGGCTGACAAGCTGTATCTTCAGGGCTGGTTGGAAAACCCTTGGTGATCTGAGGGAACTCAGTGTAATGTAATGGTTAAGACCATGGAGTCAAAATTGGTGGGCAGTTTATTATAAACTTCTAGACTTTAGTTTTCTTAAGTGTAAAATGGTGAAATGGCATCTGAGATACTGTTTATGAAGGGAACAGCACAGGGATTGTGAGATGGTAAACAGCCAATGCCTAGTAGTAGCTGTGGTTATGATGGTGCCCTTTAAGGTTATATTCTTGTTTAACTTCTTTTACTTGTCTTTGTAGAGTGGATAGAGGAAAATCCAGTGTAGCTTTGGGGATGGGGATCATTAAGTTAAGCTTGCACTCTGCTATCCATTTATAAAAATATATCTGCAAACCCTATGCCAAGAAGACAACTTCCCTTCCTCATTTCTGATGATTGAAAATCCTTTTATTTTTCATTTTCCGTAAAAGTTTTTTCTAAGTATGATTTCTGTTTAAGGTATCCTCCCTTGTTTTGCCTCTGATGAGCTGTAGAGTTTCTTGGCCCTGGGTGCATGGAAACGGCCACTTCTGTTCAGATGTGGGAACACACCGCTGGCGCATGTGGCCCACTCTCCGTGTGCGCTGTGCCAGCACAGCTGCTAGTTCAACTGAAAATTGCTTTGGGTGAAGTACAAGGCCTGGAACATGGCGTAGGAATGGAGACTTTGATAAAGTGAAAAGGGGTATGTCTAACAACCACAACAAAAGCCAGGATTGGGAGACTCAAGTAACGGCAGAAAAATTTGAGTGCCTACTTCTTAAGTAGACCATTAACAGCATTTCATCTGTGGTTTGAACTTGGAGACAACAAAAATGTACTTGATGGTAGAAACTATTTCTAGCCTAACAATTTCATCATAGTCTCATGGATTGAGGTAACTTGATTTTTCGATTCAACCAAAACAGCAAATGATTTTTTTTCTTGGATAAATGAGAGATTGTCTACCTTTTATCCTCTGATTATATGTGACAGACCTTTGCACAGTTAAAGTGATCCTACAGGCATCCACTGTTAAGTCAATCAAGAATACTGCAGGCTGGGTGTAGGGGGATTGGTCTGCATTTACTGAAAGTTCTGAGGAGTTTTTATTTAGAATCCTTAGAGTGGGAGTTTTATTGTCTTTCTCTCTCAATGACAAATTATCTGTGGAAAGTTCTGTGCATTATAGATGTATAATATAGATTATCTGCATATAGATTTTAATAGCCAGTCATTTTTCCAAGTGCTTTCTTAAAATATCTTCTTTTAATCAAGCCAAGATTGTGCAGTACATTAAAGGAATTCTTAAAAAGTTTCAAAAACTTACTAGATGACCTCAGTATGGTCCTATTTAACATACCCTCGGGAACATGTGCATGAAATACATTGTGGTTTGAGGGTTTCCAACCCAAACAAACTTAAAAGAAAATGCAGCTTTTAATAGAAACTATTCAAATTCCTGCAAACATAGGTATATATTTTACCACTGAGAGGGATTAAAAGCATCACTGTCTACACTGAGAATCAAAAGGGAATGTGCCATTCTGCTTTTAGGCTTTGCTTAAGACTGTATATTTGGTGATTCTAGCGTATCACCATCTTTGATTAAACTGCTCAATTAAAAACTATGAGTGATTGAAGCCTCTGATTAGTGTTTTTCTTTGTCATTGATGCCATGACCTGAGGGTAGGGAAGAGAGGGCAAAGAGTGTCACAAAACTGGTGTTATTTAATAGAGTCTTCACATTTGTACCACACAAGTTGAATGTATCAGGTGTAAGACATCACCCTGAAGCATCACTTCTGAGAACTATTGGGAGGAAAATATCAGAACTATTGAAATATCACAGCTGGCCCTGATTTTAACTAGTGCCAAACACCTGCAGGCTCTAAAAGGATACCAAAACAAAACCCCACCCCGTGGCAGCAAGCCATTCCTTAACAACCCTTTCTTAACTTTGCATCACCATCAAAATTAATTTAACATTTTTCTCCAGAAACCTTATTCTTCCTGTCCCAGAAGGCCATTACAACCCCTTTAGCAAATCTTTCGTATGGGATGAATATGTCATAGAAACAGAGTGAAGTCTTGAAATATTTGATGGCTGAAAATTATCTGTTTTCATTTCATTCTTTGTATAAGCTTTTGAAATTGGAGGGTTTATTAATCTCTAGACTAGCTCATATTATCTGAGTGACTTTGTTTTAGCACATTTTGGCAAAATATCTGAGCATCTTATTTTTTTAAAAAGGCCAATAGTCATATAGTAAACATCAGAAGCACCCCCAAAATACAGAGTTATTTTTCAAGACCTTTCTACCACACAGACGTGCATGTGCGCGCACGCACACCCACACATCCACACTCACTTTTGATGCATTTTAAAGATCACCTTTCAAATGACATTAGTTAATATTTCTTTAAATGCAGTTTCATAGCCCTCAGAGGGTTGTACAAGTCAAGCAAAATTATATTCTTATTTCTAATACTTATGGGAAATACATATATACAGTGGTCTTTGCAACTGGAAAACTGTTGATAAAGATGTGATGTAAAATAGTAGGTCTGGAAATAATTCCTAGCAGGCAAGGAGAGAAAAACATAAATTTTATGTGTGTCTCCGAATATACATAACACATTTAACTGATGTACAAATTTAGATACACCATACTTGTGTGTTTGTTTTATCATCCCTGTAATATTTTAAATATTTGAAGAAATAATATATTTCTGATGTAGGTGATTAAATAAAATAAAAATGGAGAGTTTAAGCTCCCAGTTTTATATTAATATATAAAGTATAAGGCAATTGTGTACAGTTTTATCTTGTTGATTTGAGAAAATTATCCTATTGCAAAAAACTTCCTGTGTTATTATTTAAGAGGAAATGTTAAAATGTC